TATATACGATTGATATCCGGAAGAAATAAAAAGTTCTAGAAAAATCAGTCTACCGGATCGCAGATTAAAATTCTATAAAAGTCAGTTTTGAAATTAAAATTAAAAATTACAATTAAAATAATAATAATAATAATAATAATAGTAACAACAACAACAACAAACGACGAGAGACGAGTCGAGGATGCGCGTTTAAATAAATCGCAAAATAAAATCCCCCTTTCAACCCTCAACCCCAATCCCAAACCCCCCCCCCATTTGTTTTTTTTTCTTCTTATTTTCATACTTTCGAGTCTCGAATTTGTTCGCATTCGACTTATCAATTCCATAATCGTTTGTACTTTTTTTATTTATTTATTTTTTGTTTCCACTCTCACAGCCAAAATAAAATTATAATAATTTGTATTTTCTCAATAGAGTCGTTGCAATAAAAACAATATGTATGTCAATCGATTAATATTAAAACGTACGTAAACGAAACGGAATAAAATAAAAAGAGAAAGAATATTTTGTTAACAAAATATTGTGATGATAGGGGGGCGGGGTTGTGGTGGGGTTGAGTTGGGGTTGGAGTGGTTTAAAAAAAAAAAATTAAGTAAAGTTTAAAATTGAAATCATTTAGCGAACAATTAATTATTTGCGAACAATTAATCATTAACGAACAATTAATTATTAGCGAACAATTAATTATTAGCGAACCTTTAGAAAGAAAAAAGGGTTCTAAGGACTAGAAAAAGTTACGCGAACAGATGATTCGTGTAAATACGATTAGAAAAATATTCTATATAATATAATTATTATTATAATATAATCCTATTATATATTTTATATTATATTATCTCTCTCTCTCTCTCTCTTTTCCTAATGAAAACTCTTAGAAACTGATCACCCCCTCCCCCTATCGTTATCCTTTTTTTTTTCTACTAGCAAGCACCTTTCCTTTACCTTTTTTTTTCTTTTTATTTTTTTTTTTAATTTTTCTCAAACAGGCCGCCCTCCCCTCCCCCTCCTCCCCGAATATATATATATATATTTTTTTTTATATGATTAATATTATTATTATTATTATTATTATTATTATTATTGCGTTAGGGTGTAAAAAACAAAAAAAACGTTGCGTTTGATAAAAATAAAAATAAAAGAAAAAAAAACCGGAAAAAAAAAAATAAAAGAAATATCATAGTTTGCGAGAACGGAAAGAAAAAACCCGCATATAAATTTCATTTAACGAAAATTAAATGCGTATTTATTGATAAAATATTTTTCCGAAAAATTATTATTCTCCCCCTTGATATCAAAAAAAAAAAAAAAAAACAAAAAAAGACGCGTAACCCTAAACTCAATCGTAAAGGTTGTATTTAATTATTTCATATCTTTTTTTTGAAGGAGGGGTTCTTTTTTATTCCTTTTTTTTCTTTTCGTTTAGTTATTGTATATACATTTTTGTTTGTTTAAATTTTTTTTTTTTCTCTCTCTCTCTCTATCTCTCTCGTTGTTTTGCCTTTAAACGGCAAACTTTCACGCATTTTCACAATTCGTTCTTTCTTCGTTTCGTTTCGTTTCGTTTCGTTTCGTTATTTCGGTATAAACGTCGCAATTATTAAAACAATAAAATAAAAAGAAACATTGTTCGATTTATCTCGGCTCGTGTTCAACATTTTTGTTTCTTTTTTATATCTTCCTTCTATGTTGTTTTTTTTTTTTTTCTATTTTTCTTTTTTTTTTTTTTTATTATTATTTTTTTTCTACGTCGGGGAGATTAACAAAAATAATTCGCTCTATTTTTTTTCTTTCCCGTCGAAAAAAAAGCATATCACAGGGTGTCGTCTCGTTTAAAAAAACCGGTCCGTCGTGCCATTACGAATTTATAACGCTATACAATAAAACACCTTTTTTTCTTTTTTTCTTTTCATTTCTTCATCATCGTCATCGTCATCATCATCTTATTGTTTTTTTTCCTTAGACCTTTTTCTTTTCTTTTCTTTGTTTTTTGTTTTTTTTTTCTCTTTTTTTTTATAAACTTTGCACAGAGATATAAGACGAGAAAACTTGATTTGTTGTTGTTGGGTTTATTTTTTTTTTTTCCTTTTTTATACTTATATATATATATACGTATATAATAATATATTATATTCTATTTACAAAAAATTTTACGATTACCTATATAATAAATTATTCTTTCCTTCCTTCCTTTTACTTTTTTTTTATCATCATCATCATCATCATCATCATCATCATCATCATCTCGAATTTATCCATTAATATTATTTTCATCTAATATAAACTCGAGAATATTAATATATGAAAGTTTTCATTTCCTCCCCTTCCCCGGTCCACCCCCCCCCTCTCTTTCTCTCTCTCTCCATATATGGCATATATTTTATGTAAACATACATATATATTTTATTTCTTTTGAATCCGCTCAACTATACTATAGTGTATATGTTTCTATGTGTGTATGTGTATAGAATATATATTTCCTTTTTTTTTGTCTTCTTCTTCTTCTTCTTCTACTTTTTTTCTTTTTTTTATACTTATAAGTATATTAAAATATACAACGTAATATTTCGACTACCAAAAAACACTCTTTGTACTAATCTCTTCGATCCAACGGATATTTTTTTAAAGCCTGCAATTACAATATAATATATATATATATATATATATGTGTGTGTGTGTGAAATCGAAAATTGTCATGCCGAATACATAAATACGTATTCGTGGGAAATTTAACTACGAGCTTCGAATAGCTCAGTGGGTAGAATGGTCATCCACAAAGTTACAAAATCTTGGGTTCGAATCCACCTGATTCCCAGTTTTTTTCAGTTCCCAGCAGTTGCAATTTTTTCATGAATTCCTACATACATATATATATATATGTTAATATATTTGCCCTTTTTTAGGTTTTAGGACACGCTCGTTTGTTATAATAATTAAAACAATCATAAATCGATGAATTAATTAATTTAAAACAAACTTGCATGACTTTTTGAACGATGTAAGATTAGTCATTAAATTGAAAAAATATTTATAATAAAATATACAATATAATTCATCATTATATCATCATCATCACACATCCATCTCCCATAAACTATCTTAAAATTTGCATTTAAACAAATACATGTTTATTAGATTTTAATACTCGACTTTTACTATATTATATACGCGTCACAATTTTATATGGAACATTTACCGATAAGTATTGAAAAAAAGGTTGTGTTCGAGATAACGAACGTATCTACGTCTTTTTATTATCGATGCTTAATAATATTGTCATCGTAATTAGGGAGAAGATTATTCCCCCCCCCCTCCTTCCCGGATTGATCATCAATTTAAAACTTTCTTCGTTCAAATCATTTTCATTTAAAACCTTGCCACAGAAGAGGTACATGTACAAGTACTCACACACGTATCGTACCCAGGTGTGTTATGAACGATTATTTGAAAAAAAAGGGGTTTACTTTAGAACTTACATTAATCTTAAAACAATAGATGAATTGTATTTTTGTTTGGTATGCTTCCTTAGGGGCACATAGAAGAAAATGCAAATAATAATTTATCGAAAAGAAACAAAATATAGAAAAAAAAAAAAAAAAACAACAATTATACTATGTAACCACCAAGTTCTGCTAACAAAACTTGATAAAGTGAAACCCCTTTTTCATGTTTTATTTTCTCTCGTATTATTTAATCGAGTCGTTTTAGTAAAAACGCAAAATTGTTAACATTTGACATTTGTTCTTCTCAGTTGTGTCAGTCTTCCTTTGCGAATATATATGTATATATATATATATAATATATGGCATCGAATTTGTTCAAGAATATTTATGGATTCGATCGGACGATTAGTTGAGTATTTAGTATTCTTCAGAAATTGGCAGGAAATAATAATTGACTATGTCGTCGTCGTCGTCTTCGTCTTCGTCTTCGTCGTTGATTGAGTTGTAGAAACGTTGGGAGACATTGTGCCCAATATATTATTTCAATATACATCTCTCGGTGATGTGTAACATTTATTAAATGGTCAGGAACTCAAAATCATTGTATTGAGTTATTAAAAAGATACAGATTATTATTTCATATCGTAATAAGAGTAAAATCAATAAAATATAGGTGACCAGTCTCTGTCCCTTTGTTTTTCTCTCGCAGTGATCGGTACGTATTCGACTCTGGATGAAACTGGTAAACATTGAAAACAATAATTCTTGCCATCGTTGTTGTCCCAAAATTGTGTACCCTTGCATTGAAAACGTACGGCAAATTCCAATCTCTGTCCTATCGTTAAAGTATGACAATAAAGTAAGAAAGAAAATTTGTCGCTGAAACCGTCGCATGAATTTGATATGTATGTTGCTTGTAAATCACTGAAATTTTTCCAAGAGTTCAAAGTATATCTAATGTGTACCGATTTGTGAAAGTCTAAATTGAGAACTCTGACCGTACCATGAATGCTTAAACTTGTCGGATCCTGTACAAGAACATTTTCCAAACAGACTTTTCGTTCTCTTATGAGATCGAGGAAATTCAAAAGACCACCAGGTTGTTGAAACAACGGTACCAATGTTCTATCAACGATACTTGGTACGGACGAGTTACGTCTGTCAGGATATCGATTGTCCCAACTCGTAGACAAGCTTAAATTTAACGGGCTGTTTTCTTTTTGAAAATTATCGTCGTAAATCAAATCGTTATATGCAGAATTAGGTATCTTTGGTATCTCGTCTAAGAATGTTCGTACATCGGCAAGATCCAATCCTAAAACATCAGCAAATCTGACGATCTTTTTTCTTCCAGGTGTCCCAGGTGGAGTCTTGCCAGTTTTCAACGAGGAACTTCGCCTAATCCTTCGTGGTCTACCATTTAATTGTTCTTCCTCTTCTTCTTCTTCCTCCTCTTCCTCCTCCTCCCCCTTCGCTTCTATATTAACCTTCCCCTGTCCCTCCATTTTCCTCGCCCCAGCCTCAATCCGTTCATCCCCTTCCTCTACTTCATTTTCTTCATCTTTGATTTCATTCGAGACAACTCGTTCAGCTATCAACATCTGTTTACTCATCGAAATATCATCTTGATTACCGTTACACTTGTCTCTGTTTAAAATAAGACACGTATTCTCGTCTACCTTATCGTCTAATACTGTTTCATCCTCGATTTGCAAAGTAACCTCGTTAATTACTAAATTACCCGATTTCTCCGTCAGTCTTTTACCAGTGGGACATTCTACAACGAGTTCATCGGCTAGGTTTAAGGTGCTAACGTAAGTTGAGTGGTCCCCATCATGTTCGACAACTTCCGGCATGGTTATCGAATCTTCCAAATCAGTTTCTAATTGATCGTTAACATCATCATCGGTAGGACTTAGGTCGTTAATGGTGTCCGATAATTCAGCGGTGACATTTATAATCGGTTTGTCATTGATAAAATTATTAGAACAATTTAATTGTTTGATCGTATCAACGTTAATACGTTCATCCGAGACACTGGGAAAATCATTAACGTCGTATCCTTCATCCTCATTTTTTTCAACGGTTAACGGTAACGTACTAGTTGCGGTTAATGTTCTAGTTACGTTGTCCGGTATCTCGGAATCCGAATGGGATTTGATAAGACATTTGCGTAAATAATTGTAATTGTTTTTAGACGTGTTATCGTCTTTAAGGGAAACGGTACTGTCATCATCGAACGTACTCCAAAGTGATTCGTGACTTGGCGATGTTGTCGTCTCACGAGAACTCCTACCATTCAAGGAATCTTCCGAACTGAAGATTCCTTCTTTTACGATGGTTTTATTTTCACGAGTTTTATCAATACGAATAAACCTATCCAAAGGTTTATTTTTATTCGAGGATAAACTAGAATCGGACGAGTCCTCACGATAAATAGACGACGAAATATTTCCGATCGGTATACTCGACAAAGAATATTGTCCTTTCATCGAAACATCGTCTAAATTATTGGAGATTAATTGTTCGCTTTCAGAACTGGTAACGGGATCGAAGTAAATTTCATTTTTGTTCTTTTCCACGTCGGATGATTCAGGATCGAAATATGTTTCGGAAGATTCGCTGACCGGCGAGGTACCACTAACCGGTGATACATAAATACATTCCGATTCGGAATCTTGATCGATACCTAACCTAGGACCGTTAGGTGAACAATGACAAGTATCGTGATGATTGGTCATTAATATTTCCGTGTTTACCAACAAATCGGCCAATTCGGCAGCGGTAACTTCTTCACCGGGTGAATTAGGTTCGTGTTCGAAATCTAATTCATCGTCGAAATCATAGTAATGCTCGTTATCCGCTTGGTGTCGCTGCTGTCGTTGAAATACACGGCCTCCCATTGGATTGTTACCGATAGACGGAACGTTATTGGTCGTCGTTTTTTCTATAGTTCCGTGCAACCACGAAGCAACCTCGCGTGTTATCGGTTTTGTAATAACCGATGCACCGGCAACCGGTGATGATGGGTTGTTATAACCTTCCGAATTGTCATCGGTATTACCCAATGACGTAAGCCGTCGATGAAGACGCCTCGCAAATGCTTCGGCACGTCCCCGACAACCACCAGAAAATATTGAACCAACCAATCCGCAAGAACTATCACCGTGACCACCATGACCACCACGTCCTCGTCCATATTCGGTACCTGCCGTATTAGTACTACTGCTCATCTCAAACGTTTTATCTTCTTTTATATCTCTACTCTCCGAATTATCACCGAACGTTGTTGTTTTATCGATGTTGATAGTGGATGATGAATCCTTGACCGAGCTCGCGTCCAAGTCCAATCGTGAACTTGAACTCGAACTCGAACTCCCCGACTCGTCCAACTCCTTTGGTTCCCGATTACCCGTATTGATCTGAAATATTAAATTTAATCGTCAATGTTAATTGTTTATTCGTTATCTATCGTTGTACCGATTATTATGGGTCAAACACAAAAGTTCGTACGTTTATTCTGTTGAATGTTTTAACTTTGAAAAATGTATAATAGATTATTTATTTGATTCTTTTTTTTATCATTGTTGTTGTAAAATTTACTTTGGAAATATTAATATTAAAAACGAACTTCTTCTTTTTTGTTTTTTATTAACATTACACTTACGTATAAAATAATATTATATTGATATGAAATAAATTCGCATTATCTAAGGCAACACAATTAATGTACGTACTTTTGGTTAAGTTTAATAATTACAATATAACGTTATTTAAAATTATCTATCATTGATTATAGTTACACAAGAATCAATCGTAGGTAAAAGAAAGTGTGACAGAATAACGAAAAATAATAAGAAAAATCTTTCGCGAGAGAAAAAGAAAAAAAAAGAGAGAGAGAGAGAAAGAGAAAAAGAAAAGTAAGAGAGACAGGCTGACTGTTTTCGATACACACGTCGGCAAGGAGAAAAGTGGAGCGGTATAAATACGTCTGGCTCGTAGTCAAGTACGCCTACATGCCGTACACGTGATTTGTACTTTCAAGAAGTACGTAGTCGTCGTCGTTGATCGTCGTCGTCGTCTGGCGTGTCTTAAATACCAACCATTTGTTATCAACTTATTAACGGAATATTACTGTAAGAAAATATTTCACATTTTCATAATAACGCGTATAAATAATAAATCTATGGTTATATCATTTAAATAATAATCATCGATTTTTCTCTATTTTTTTTTTATAATTTTTCTTTTCTTTTTTTTTTTTCAATCGACATGTTTGTTGTTTCAAATAGATCAGGACTTTAGCCGGTATCTGTTTAATGCAAATAAAATCTTTCTATCTATCTCTCTTTCTCTCTCTGTCTGTCTCTGTCTTGTGTTTAAAATTGCGACTGATCGATAGATGATCGAGCAAGGTTGTTTAAGTATTACGTAAATTATACATAAAATAATATATATATGTGTAATGTATGATATATATTTTTAATATTTTATTATTGTAATATATTTTAAATATTATTTATTATTATATTAATAATATATATATT